GTAAGCAATATTTTCCAGCCACTTCTTAAGGAAGTATTCGGAGGCATTCTGAACTATTACAAGCTTTTTCAAATGTGAAAGACATGAAAACATTGTCCCAAATAGTTCAACCTTGTCTAACGTGAGCGTCAAGTACTGCAAGTGAGGTAAATATGAAGCCGGTGAAGATATTTTCTCTAACGTACTGAAACTTATCTCAAACCCGTACAGATTCAACATATGAATATTTTTACAGTTGAGTATTTTTGATTGATACTGACTGAACGGTAGCTGTCCCTTTAAACTGAGTGACTGTACGTGTGGTTGACATGTTTTTAAAACTGATTTAATGAATGGAGCGTTTGTCTTATGGTACGCATCATCAATGAAAACATTTGTCCACAAATAAGGATCAGAACATATCGTGTAAAGTAGCCGATCGACTAGTCTAAGGGACATCTTATCTCTGAGTGACAGCAACATACATATCTCTTGTATGATCTCCTTTGGTAGGGAATCAAGTGATGAATATTCTTTGTCCTCCTTTACAGGATCATCCGATGGAAAGAGCTGATGTACCGGGATGACTTGGTGTTCTTGTTCTTTGCGACTATTAGCTGGCTGGTCGTCAACGAATTCAGGATCAAATTTGAGCCGCTTATACCCGTGCCCCTGAGACGCCATTTTTGCACGTGATTTTTCTTTCTTTTCTTTTGCTTCTCTCATAATGATAAACTACTATAATAGTAGTAATTATTGTTTGATTGTGTATGAATAATTATGTGCCAAGACCATCAAATCTTGTCTGCAAAATGGGAATTTCTCTGATGATTGTATTCTCTCTCTTTGGAAGATAAAAAGATTAATGTCATTCAGAGGCGGATCTGGGCCCGGCCCTAGACGGGCCATGGGCCCATGGCCCGTCAGTAATAAGATTCATTAGATGCAATGTAAACAATTCCCTGCCTCAAGTTTTGATAAAGCAAACCACAAGCCACACCAGAGTACTTACAAGTGTTTGAAGAGCATTATAAGCACTGTATAAATAAGGAAATTGTTGAAACCCATCATAAAAATGGCCAAAAGATGCATAACCATAAAATAACTGGTTGAAAAGTGGACACACCCACATCCTGGCCCTACCATTAACTTGCACCTGCACCCAGATCCGCCACTGATGTCATTTTAAACCAACACAACTATTATTATTATAAAGAATCAATTACATAGTAAATAAATTACTTGTTTTGTAATAATCATGCATGCAAATTTGCAAAGTCTGTGTTCCATCTTGCATTAGAACATGGAAATTTCTGTTTAATTCTAGAATGATATTTTCTAATATACGGATAATGCCGCAAGTATTTGAAGGTAATAAAGCAACAGGATTCAACCAGTTCAAGCAAAACATTTTCTTTAATCTGCATGTCGCATACAAAATGTTTCAAATGTCTCTTACTATTGACAGCAAGAGCAGTAACAAAATCCGAAGTGATACATGTAATACCACCCAGTCCAAGGTAAAGGTGAGTCAGGTTACTATACAGTGCGGGATCAACTGGTAGTGTGAGTCTTGCATTAACAATACTGAGAACTGAGAGCTGCTGGCAATTCTGAAGCACTTCTTCAAATCCTTCACTTTTGAGAGGACGGTACTTTCGTAAGAGGGAGTGTAACTAACTCGGAGATAAACGAGAGATTTCAAATTTGAGACGAACTGAAGCAAATGCTGATGAACAACATGTACAAGTACAACTGAGGATGGCTTACATAAAGTACAGCTATGACATCTACAA